ACTTTAAAATTATGTGTATAGTATTGCTGAAAAGAAACAATTAAGAATTTGTTTATCTGACTATTACACGCAAAGTGCTCCTTCACGACAACTAATCATTCTTTTTATCCTAAATATCAATAATGATGTTAAAAATAAAGATGAGTAGATTCGATTCTAAAAATAAATTTACTAAACACCATCGACAGTGGTTTTCAACCGTGATGCTTCTGCACACTAAGGTAGGCCCTGAGAAAATTTAAGGGTTCTAGAAGTGGTTCCTACCCCTATAAGTTAATCTTATTTTTACTGACAGAAAATTAAATTAAAATATTTGATTAAACTTTAATCTAATTATTATTTTGTTTTAAAACCAGGTAAAATATTTATTATTNAAAGAAACAATTAAGAATTTCTTTATCTGACGATTACATGCAAAGTGCTCCTTCACGACAACTAATCATTCTTTTTAACCTAAATATCAATAATGATGTTAAAAATAAAATTGAAGTAGATTCGATTCTAAAAATGAATTTACTAAACATCATCGACAGTGGTTTTCAACCGGGATGCCGCGGCACACTAAGGCAGGCCCTGAGAAAATTTGAGGGTTCTAGAAGTGGTTCCTACCCCTATAAGTTAATCTTATTTTTACTGACAGAAAATTAAATTAAAATATTTGATTAAACTTTAATCTAATTATAATTTTGTTTTTAAAACCAGGTAAAATATTTATTATTATTTAAAATTATTTCTTTCAAATGCATTTAATTGAGAATTGTTATATCAATATAGAAAATAAGCACTTATGTAATGTAAAATAAATGAAACAATATTTAATGTTAAGTTTTTAAAATTGATAACTGAATTTAGAATTAACAAAGTGAACGTTGTGTCAAAAACCAACAACATATACATTCAGTACAAAAAACTGTCCTATTGCAATTCTCCCATTATCGTCTATACAAACTGATTAGATAGATAAATACCATTGTCTAGCCGTCTGTCATTCTAGATCATAACATTAGAGTAAAAAATTGATTAAAAATTATCAAAAAATTAATTTCGTCAATTGAAATACGCATTTCGTAAAGTTAATTAATTTTCAACTTTACAATTTCAATTAGTTTTAATTAATTTCCATTATACACGTTATTTTAGTAATGATATTGTTTATAATAAACTTTAATAAACTCTATAAAATAACCTTGATCTTGATTAAATGATATGATTAAATATCCTTCAACTTGAATTTTTTTAAAGCACTTTATTTTTCTGAACTGGGCAGAATCCGGCAAGAATAATTCTTAGACCGGCTACACACTTATGGGTATACCTGAACAGGTGCATCTGTCCGGTATATCTGAACGTGTGGTGGGAAAACAACTGAAAATTTTGTCTTTCATACCTTCAGGTATACCGGTTCGTGTGTAGAGGGACTTGTACTGCAAAATTCGCTTAGAAGCAAAACAAAATTTTAATTTATAAACTTTCTTAAATAATTTATGAACAATCAATGAAAATTTCCAGTATGTTTGTTACTTATACAGAAATTTTAATAAGGTAATAAATTATTTGAATCTTTAATTGAAATTGAAATAAGGGATTTATATAAAAAAATTAATCTATCTTATTTGAAACTATATGATTGTATTAGTTACTTTTTCAATTTTACATTTCATAAATAAATTAAGTACATTGATATACAAATATATATATATATATATATATCTATTGTACCAGTACATATATATGTCTTTTTATTAGTTTATTTTTCTGGATTTAAATTATTGGCTTAAGGAAGTTTTTAGTTTTAAATAAACTAAAAGAAAATACGTGTTATAAATGAACATAATTATTAGTTTATTAAGAGAAACAAATTTTAATTTTAATATTTATAATATCAAATTTTCGAAAATTGAATTGCTATACATTATTGTAATGTTGACTACAAACAAGTTTAAATCATTTTAATTGTTAAGTAATTACAAGTTAATTAATTACAGAGACTTATACTCTCAAAAAAAAAAAATAATAATAATCAAAGCAATTGCATGCAACTTGAAAACTTCAGTTTTCTATCTTAGGTCGTTTAATTGCTGGTTTTTTCTCAAACCAAGAAATAACATCCGGTCCATTGGTACAGTAACCTGATCTATCGCATGTCATACCATTAGGACAACAATGAACTTTATCAGAGCAGCATACAGCTCGAGGAAAGGGACAGCATCCGTAAGTGTTAGAGCCTATCAAACAGCAAGTATTTCCAGAATTGCAATAATTGCCATCTGGACACTGTACAAGATCTACCGAATTTCGCTTCAACAATTTGTGTTTTGAGGAAAGAATTGAGCTTTTACTGTTTTGAACATGCCTCTGCATTCTTGGATTCTCCATTGGCTCCGTGCTAGATGTGCAAAACCCTGAGGCATCACAAGTATATCCGTGTGGACAACAATGTTCCTTATCGCTACAACAGACAGCGTTTTCAAGAGGGCAACAACCTATTTGGCCTGTAGTCATCGGACAACAAGTCGCCCAATTAGGACATTGTGGACATGAATTCGCGTGGATAACTAAAGAGAAAGGTTCTCGGAGAGGCTCTAATTTTCTTGTAAAATTATGTTTTCCTGTCACATCTGGACACTTTACGCAGATTTCAAATAGATCTACGCAGATATATTCGTCTGGACAGCAATGCTGAAGATCTGAACAGCATACCGCATCCTCCATAGGACAACATCCGTATCCTTGGTTAGTCTTGCAACAAGTTTGACCTAAACATGAAATTTTAATATATTAATTAAGTAATTAAAAGTAATGAAATGAATAAATGAATTAAAAACACAAAANTAACAATATCGAAAGAACAAAAACCTTCATTTTCTGAAATAAAATATTTTATTGTTTCATGTTGTTAATAACTTTTTAAGATTAAAGTATATAGAACAGTTTATATAAATATATGGTAATGAAAATCAACGGCATATGGGTTAATAAAAACTTACTGTACAGAATGTTTTATGGACTTATTTGCGAAAAACATATTACACAGATTTACATTTTACAATAATATTTTCAATTAAATTTAAAAGCAACGTTCAGAAAAACTACACTAATATATATTATTACAATATATTACAAAATATTTCCTTAAATATGTATATTAAATTACAAAGTTGTTCTGTTAAAGTTCTACTCTTCTCTTTCATGTGTACATTATTTACAAATAATGTTTT